AGTCAAGTCCAAACAAAGAAAACATGCTCCGTGGCGCAGTGGCTTAGCAATCAGTTGCTGCGCTGGGGGCCGCGGGATCGAATCCTGCACGGAACAACTATTTGTATGGTCTACAAATAATGTTCCGGGTCTGGATGTTTGTCCTTGTGCAATTTGTGTTTATAAACTGCCTCCACGATACAGGAGAAAATCCTAGTGTGGGGGTAACGTTTTAAAAAAAAAAAGACATATTCTATGAAGAAAAACATACAGGTCAAAATATAAAACAACCCTGGCATACACACGCATATATAGCACATACTCTAGATAGCTTAGGTATAAACCTTTGGGGGTTTCTTAAATGCTATCACTACAAATATTTCGTAATGGTTGTTTATGTGATAAATAAAAACATGACAATATAGCCTAGTACTAGATATCTCATACGCTTCAAACATAAAAACAACAAAACTTTCATTTAAATTATAAAATTATTTTGCTAATTATATGGGTATGAAACCTACGAGAAAACCTCGTACATTCACTAAACTATTTACAAATAGTAGAATATAGAAAATATCAAGAGTATTAAGTGTACAATAAAGAAGAAAAATGCAATGATGTTGTCCCGTGACAGCATAAATAAATCGCCGTCTCTCAAGAAGAGAGCAATGTCATGGCGAATTCGTGCGGCGGTACTGCTATCACCATAGCGGTAGGCCTTGGCAAGCGTAATGATTATGCCTAATCTTACCTTATTACGTGGTAGAGCCATACTGCAGCTATACTGTGGTTGTCGCACAAATGGCTCGTCTCGACCGGGGTAGGACCTCGCTCTCACAGAATACCAACGTAAAATAGCAGCTTAATGCTGCTGTGTTTTGTATAGTGAGTGTAGAGAACCGGAGACCGTTTTTACTGGGAACGAGGCATTCCATCTGTCATCAGGGATGACAGCGCATCTGCATTTTGATTCTTAATTGGAGATGGATGTGGATGTCCATGGGCCACAGCATCCACTTACCATCAGGTGGACTGTGTGCTCGTTTGTCATCCTTATTCTATAAAAAAAAACCTTCAATGCAAAGGCCCCATGTTTAGTACCTAGTGCATTGTTATAGGCGATGATGAAGAAAAAAGTGTGACAGATTATTCTAGAAATAACACTTGAAGTGATAGCTTTAACTCTAATTTTGCCTAAGTTATTACAATCTCTTTCAGAAGTACTAAAAGGCCTGTCTGTACCCAACAGTAGGACGTACATATATTTTAAAAAACTTTTTATATTACTACCATCGTCTATACAATAATTATCGGATGTGAGGAATTTTATTTGTGGAGTTCCTTGTTTAAAGTTGTTTACAGATGTCCATAGGCTGCATTAGCCACTTACTACACGCTGGACCTTTAGTTCAATGGAATCAATTATAGGTGTTTCATTACGTTCGACCGCGACGCTGAATTTCAATTTGAAACCAATTAATGACTCTACTTATCGGAATTATAATCAAATAGGGCAATACTTAAACCCCATAGGATCGCGTGATAAAAGACAACGATTAAAAAAGCAAACTTCAATGAACTAAAAATAATAACTTAATTTCACATTTTGCAATTTAAGAAAGTTAAGTCAGCATAAAAAAATTAAAGTATATAACGGTCAGAGTATAGCCACTATTTAGTAATCTGTGGTATAGCTAGCCTACTAAAGCTACGGTTCCGCAGGCCATGGGTCGTAATTCCAGCCGAATCCCATATTTGAACACAAATTGATTTTGGGATGACCATGTTTGTAATTGTTCCGTGACCCTAACTGTATCTGTCTGCCTCCGATGTCATCGCATAAGCGGCGTTAAATCGATCACACAAAAAAAAAACAACTTCAACTGTCCAAAGCACGACTTTATAATTTAATCTCATCTTTATTAAAACATTTATAGTTCTTCTTACTTTTTATTATTTTTATACTTACTATTGCGCCAGATCTTTGTCATCTAGACCGGAAGGCGTCGCGAGTGTGTCCGCATCGCCCTCCGTTCTCCCACCCGGATGTTCAGGAATTATTCGTTCGATCGTCGTTACTTCTTCTATATCCGAGTCGATTCCTTGCGCGAAGTCCATGTAAAAAGACTCCCGTGAGTCACTGGAGCCCCGTCGCAATTTCAGCGACAGGTCCGGCGAACTATCATCCATTTTTTACACTATACTCTAACTTGCCACTCAAACAGTTGAATCTCTATATTCAGACTCATTATTTCGCTTCTAAGTTAATTTTTAAACGTAGCGGTTTTGGCCAGTTATTGCTTAAATTAATCCATTTTTTTCTTCAACTTTAAAACATTGAATACGAAAGTTTAGATATTTTTCAATAAATTAAAGCAACTAAGTTCAATGAATGAAATATTTTGACCCGCCAAAAAGTTACGTTAAAGTTACAAGTTTATTTAGCAACACAGAAAAATAAATTATAAGTATAAAGATACAATGAAGATAAGAACAATGACCCGAAGATGGCTCATCACTTCCCCAAAAAAGAAATAGCTCTTATGTATACAAAAACAAGCGGCTTACAACAAACTATCGTATGGTATCATACATTATTTTATGTTTGCCTATAGGTATATGCTCAATTTACTATAAGCAATGTTATAAAGACAGGTCTAGGTATTTACTAATCGAAATGTAACTGATTATTTTGGCTCTTCGAGGTCTACCTTACTTCATGAACAATTATTAAGTTTAAAGGCAATGAAAATTGGTCATATGAGGTAAAATATACAAAAAATACTATGTACTTTTAAAATGTATTAATAAAATCTCTAAAAACGCAACCCCGTCTCAACAGAGAGGGTAATTACCATACTAAATATTTGTATCGAGTATATAAATTACTACAGGGCAAGCCACGGAATGCATTAACGTAAAACCACATCCGTAAGCGTGGTATCAATCGTCTCCGATCCCTAGAGAACAACAATAATGTGCCGCAACAAACATACTAATGCTCACACTACGCAATCCGAACGATTCCTATGCTAGTCACGCATATTGCCGCCGCACGTAGTACGGGTATCGACACAGTATAATCCAACGAGTCACTCACACAACGCCGCCGTATTGTAGCGGAGTAAGCACGTGTTCGGCGAGAGTACAAACACGACCGCGACGCCCTCTCGAGGCGATGGTTGGCGCGCGATTGCCGGGAGCAGGAGGCACCGACGAACGGACGTACGGGAGGGCGGGGAACAACCCTCCCGGCCGGGATCAATCACTCGCATTCCCGGTATTGGACCAACCCGATATTTGGACAGGGTGGCATTGACATTGTAAGGTTTTCTATAGAAATAATTCACTTCCTAGTTTAAAAAGTTCAGCTTTTTATTTTTAAACAAGCGCCAATTATTATAATGCATCCAATCGATACAGGACAAAAGGATTCAGAAATGAAACAACATACTGTGACCTACATACTCTTATAAGTTTATTATAATAATATAGTAAACAAATTAATAATATACTTATATGATGATATCACAATACTTAAGTCTTTTATAATAATATAATTGGGTTAAATACAATTACACAACAAAGTAAAGCAAAAAAATAAATCACTTTCTTGAAAATTATCAAATATGGTCAAAAAGTGAATTAACTTCATCAATAATAGCTAAATTCTGTTTCAGATAATGCGATAGTATAATTGTGTAAAATATAATACTTTGTCTTAAAATACAGAAAGTTATAAAATGTGATAAAAATTAAATGACGAGGCAATAGTGAAATGTTATTAAAACAAATTTATTAAAGACCTATACAATAAAGTAAGTACCAACTGAAAAATTAAAATCCAAAAGAATTTTTAATACTTAACAATAACTGTATTTGGTCCAATAATAATTTTTAAATATTAATTATGACAATACACATTGAAATAAATTTAATAAACTTTATTACTTAAAACACAATATATACACATAATATACTTTATTTATTATTATTATTATTAAGGAACAATACGTTGTGGTATTTTATAATATTAAAAATGAGGACATTTTACGTTTAAATTTTATAATAAATTCACTGTCACAAACGGTTTATTATTTAACTACCTTTTTTAATCAAAACCTTTTCCTATTTCTGCTTTTGACACCTTATGACAAATATATTGTATCAATGACCATGAAAGATCTCTACTGCCACCGGGCGATCCGTATGACGAGAACCTCATGAAAGCCGAAAAATATAAGCAAACAAAATGTCTGGACCTGGCTCCACAAGGTGACCGATATGTAGGATGGTCTGTCGACCGAAATTATTCCTGTAGTCGTTTTTGCGAACGGACTAATCTCGGTCAGATCCTCGGGCCATTTAAGGCGACTGGGACTCCGTGACGGACCGCTCCGGGCTCAAATGCAGAAGGCGGTGCTCCTCGATACTACCCGCATCGTCCGCCGGTTTCTTTTAATTTCCCCCTAACTCTCGGCCGTTTAGTCTGCCTTGTCGAGGGCTTTCCATCTCGTTGGATTTTTATTTATGTATTTTTTATTTATTTATTTCACTATATTAATTATTTCCTTTTGTATTCAGATGAGAATACTATTTTAACCAACAATAAAACCAATTAACAACACTCATGATTTAATAAACTAATGTATAAATAATTATTCAAAAATTTGTAACACACATATTTTACATATTTCTCGGATTAATACGCAAATTTCTGAATAATCATATATTTTTTTAACAAAGCAACATAATATGATACTGTTTATGTCCCCATTTTTTATCTTGTTGCAAAATTAATAAGGAATTTCAAATACAATCAAGTCAATTTGTAAGCAGCAAAATATAAATGATTTTTCAACATAGTAATTTACTTTAAACTGTCGTTGGAAACAATATTATCAATAACAAATATTTTGAAATTTCATTTTGTCTCATTAAAGGTTGTTGAGAAATTTACAAGTTATATTTTCGTCTGATAACAAATCTTCAAAATGAAATACATCGCGTTGAAAAAATTAAGCGACACAAGATTTCCACGCTAATCCACCGCACGCCATCGCTCCAATGAGGTAAATGGCAAAACCAACAATAAGAGTCAGTATCACATACATTTTGATATTCTTCCAAAATAATGAACGTTGCAGGGTCCTCGCCGACGTGCGATATGAGACCGACTGAAAATTAAAAGTAGAATTAGGCTTTTAAACAATTAAACCATTTATAAAATCAATAACTTACAGTACCAAATTATATTTAATGACAGCAACGGAAGGTCAGCAGTCTGTAGGTTACATGAAACGCGTTTGATTCAACTCGAGACACCGAGTTACATTCCCGATGCCTATATCTACTAATAAAAATTAAAATTAATTATAAAAACGTAATTTAAGTTTTCAGTTGCGGTATACCGCGAGGTCAACGAGTAATGAAAACATACCTAAGAAATAAAAATAAATACTTTGAGAACGTATTAAATACTAGATGTTCCCCACGACTTCGCCCGCGTGTTAGGGTTTTTGTTTTTGCGCGGAATTCTAATTATTTTTCTAAAATAAAAGTAGCCTAAGTTACTCCTTATGAAATCAGCTATCTACCAGTGAAAGGCCCGTCAAAATCGGTTCAGCCGTTTCGGAGATTAGCCGGAACAAACAGACAGACAGACAAAAATTTTAAAATTGTATTTTAGTTATGAGTACCGTATTTACTTTCATATGCATGTAGTAAAAAACTGTAATTTTGACATTACAAACAGACACTTCAATTTTATTTATTTGTATAGATATATAATAATAATAATAATATTTGCCTAAACGTGGTATATTGTTAACATATTTAAACGAGCGCTCATGTTCTTTACATATCATACATTTTCTGAGCATTATCAATTTGAATTAGGTATAATAATTAGCATAATTCAATTAAAGATAAGAAAACAGTGAAATAATATTATAATATTTAGTTAAAAGTCAATTTTTTTTTTATTGGATAACGGTGACAAACGAGCACACAGTCCACCTGATGGTAAGTGGTTGCTGCGGCCCATAGACATCTACATCTATCCTCTGTTACAAATCAAAATGTAGATGCGTTGTCACCCGTGAGGACTAAGATGGAATGCCTCATTTCCAGTAAAAAGGGCCTCCGGCCACCTGCACTCACCAAGCAAAACGCAGAGGTAAACCTCTACTTCACGCTGGTTTTCTGTGAGGTCGTGGTACTACCCCGGTTCGAGCCGGCCAATCCGTGCGACAGCAAAAGCTGCCGCGTGGCTCTACCACTGTTAAAATTCCGAGCATCATCAATACAGAGATACACACAAATTAAAGTCAAAAAACTTTTTTTAACTTCAACGTTTACAGAAGTAACCGAGCAGATTTAACGAACTTCTTTTGCTATCTATCAAGTTCTTTTTTTGTGCGAGCAGCTATGCAGGTCTAGAAAGACCAGTATCACTGGGACCTAAAAGATCTTTTGTGATTGCTGCTATGGCTATAGTTCACTGCTAACCCCTATGTCTTCAATGAATTGAAGACGTTGCTTTGCTGTAAGCAATTTCATTTATTCTGGGCGAAGTACATAGTTTCCCAGATGAGTGTTACGTTTGTGCATTAAGGGTCCACAATCAGTTGGGATGTGTAGAGGCGTTTCTTCTGTTAAGGAACAGAACCGGCACATCCTTGAGTTGCTTACTCCCAGGATGAACATGTGCTTTTATCTATCAAGTTATCCAATGTATAGGTAATAAAAGATAAAGTACATGATGAAATAAAATTTGTTGCTTTTAATGAGATCGGTGCACGAGTAACTTAAGCGCTCGCGTCGCAATTTCGTAATACGCAAGCCATACACATTTTGATACCAGGATAAAGGTAAATTTTAATTTCAATTCGAAGTGCTAATTTACCACATACGCGGTGAAGAAGAAAATCGTGAGGAAACCTGGATTTCTGAGAAGTTAAAAAAATATTTAGAGCGCCAACAAGAATAATTAGGGTTGCGTTGCTGACTCTTTTCTGTCCATAATTATCTCATTAATAGTAATCATTCTCATTACTAATCTGGGTTCCCGCAGGAAGGAGGCAGGAGAGACAGGCGGCTTATGCACAGCTGCGTGACGTATGTATGCTGCTAGTTTCCTTTTTTGTCTTTCAATGAGACTATTAAATAATTAGTTATTTATTAAGCAGGCATTCCATCCTTCGGAGATAATAAGATGTTTACGTAGGGATTTTTTTAAGTGACATGATGAAAACGTAAAAGCTCTGGAGGAAAATAAAGTATTAAGACGGCAAATTTTACTTAAAGGTTTTTTTTATAGGATCGGGTGACAAACGAGCACACAGTTCACCTGATGGCAAGTGGCTACTGTGACCCACAGACATCTACATCTATCCTCAATAAAGACTCAAGATGCAGATGCGTTGTCACCCGTGAGGACTAAGATGGAATGCCTCGTTTCCAGTAAAAAGGGTCTCCGGTTCTCTACACTCACCATACGAAACACAGCAGCGATAAGCTGCTATTTTACGCCGGTTTTCTGTGAGAGCGCGATCCCTCCCCGGCCGAGCCGACCCATTCGTGCTACAACCATAATATAGCTGCAGCATGGCTCTACCACGTAGAATTTTATTTTTATATTTACCGTAAAGATGTGCAGCACCGTAAACAAATGCCAGAAATGCGGCAGAAACATGTAAGAAGTTGGTACGTACCCAGACGGTCTTCTAGACGAAAAAGGAGTCATACGATTTAACTGAAATGTAGTGTTTTGCAAGCTTGGTAACAGATTAACCAATTAACCTTTCTCCAGCAAGCATTTAAAAAGTTATGTTGACTAATTCCCCGTTTAGTGGCGGGTAAGAATACTCACTACCCCATATCTTCCCGTGGGTGTCGTAAAAGGCGACAGAGGGAACCTGAGACAGAAGATGGGCAGCAGCATCTTTCTGATAACAGCAAAACAACAATAAAAAGACTGCGGTTGCCAACCCGCTCGCCAAGCGTGGCAACTATGGCAATATACCCCCCATGAAGGTAACGAAGAGACGGCCCCCAGTCCCCGGCGGCGCCGCTATTCCTGGCTACGGTGGCGACCATGGTAACCGCGGGGTAGGGGGTGCTAAGAATCTCCGGTGGAGGTTCGGTTGCCACCTACGACGACTCGACCTGGCAACTTATAACGCACGCACCCTGAGGACTGACGAGAAGATCTTAGAGCTGGAAGAAGAGATAGACAAGTTGCGCTGGAATGCCATAGGATTATCCGAAGTCCGAAGAGAGGGGGAGGACACCGTTTCCTCATTATTCTTCTGCTGAGCTCGTGGTAAATCAGCACTTGATATTAATACTACCATTCGAAACTGCCCTGCCATGTATTAGCGACGTAAGGGAATCCACTATCCTACCACGTAAGAGTTGATAGAAGTAAACTGAAACGGAAGACGAGCAGCAACATTTTCCCAAACACATTTCATTTACGAAAATATTTTATACGGGGAAGGCTTGCCCACAGCCGTAGGAATCCATCTATGATCGGCGATCTGTCAACATCATCGGTGCCCTTGTGGTGGCGGTGATTTTGAGCTCCACGGACATTCATCTTAGAAAAGTGCTGGTAAGTTCCCTACAGTACTAAGTTCTTTACACATTAGGAAACGGTACCGGAAACGGTAATCCTTGAATCCGGTAACTTGCTCTATCACCGGGAGGGCAACCATCTGTCCCAAGGAGGTGTCGGATTTATCGTCCACAAGTCTCTCGTTAACAACGTTGTAAAGATTGGGAGTGTGTCGACGAGGGTTGCGTACCTTATACTCAGAATCACCAAACGGTATTCGCTGAAGGTCATACAGGTTTACGCATCAACCTCGGCAAACCCCGATGAGGAGGTGGAGGAAATGTATGAGGATATCTCTAGATCCATGCATTCCTTCAAAACCCACTATACGGTGTTAATGGGAGACTTCAACGCAAAACTAGGCACAAGAGAGAACGGTGAGCTGAAAGTAGGGAATTTCGGAATAGGGCAACGGAACCCAAGGGGCCAGCAGCTGGCCGACTTCATGGAGAAAGAGGGACTCTTCATGATGAACTCTTTCTTCCAGAAGCGGCCCCAATGTAAGTAGCATAACACTACAAGGCGTGGAGCCGAAGTGCGGTGGTCTTGTTCTTCAAGAAAGGTGACAACGCTCTATTGAAGAACTACAGACCGATTTCCCTTCTGAGCTGCCTCTACGTGTTGTTTTCGAGAGTCATTACGAATCGTCTCGCGCGCAGTCTTGACGACTTCCAGCCTCCCGAACAAGCCAGTTTCCGAAAGGGCTTTAGCACCATAGACCACATACATACCCTTCAGTACTGTTTGTACAGAAGTCCGAAGAGTACAATTTGCCACTACGTCTGGCGTATGTGGACTATGAAAGCCTTTGATTCCGTCGAAACTTGGGCGGTGCTGCAGTCCCTTCAGCGATGCCAAGTTGACTGTCGGTATATCGAAGTGCTGAAGTGCTTGTACAGTAGGGCTACGATGGCTATCCGAGTACAGAACCAGAGTACGAAACCTATCCAATTGCAGAGAGGTGTAAGACAGGGTGACGTGATATCCCCGAAACTCTTCACCGCTGCATTGGAAAACGTTTTCAAGCTTCTGGACTGGAAAGGATACGGTATTAACATCAATGGCGAGTACATCACTCACCTTCGATTTGCCGACGATATAGTCCTTATGGCAAAATCGCTGGAGGACCTAAGCACTATGCTCAATGACCTCAATAGTGTTTCCCAACGGATAGGTCTTAAGATGAACATGGACAAAACAAAGATCATGTTTAGTCCATGTCACAACTATGCCGGTAGTTGTTGGGAGCACTAACCTCGAAGTTGTTGACGAGTATGTTTACCTGGGACAAATAGTCCGACTAGGTAAGTCCAACTTCGATCAAGAGGTCAACGATGGATTTAACTCGGTTGAGCGGCGTTCGGCAAATTACAGGTATACCTCAAAACTTGAAAACAAGACTGTACAACCAGTGCGTGTTGCCAGTGATGACCTATGGTACTGAGACGTAGTCCTTCACTTCTGGCCGGATGAGGAAGCTCAAGGTCGCTCAGAGAGCTACGGAGAGGGCTATGCTCGGAGTTTCTCTGCGCGATAAACTTAGAAATGAGGATATCC